TCAAAACTTGTATTTAATTATTCATCAGTTATTGTTGCTTTATCATCAGTATGTTTTTCAGTAAAACTCATTGGTTTACGACGTTGATTATTAGCTAAAGATAAAAAATATTAAATAAAATTAACTAAGATTATTTATAGTTTTTAGTTTACATATATTTTCTGATTTTGATTGTTCATGTTTATGCTAAAAATAAATAGAGATTGTTTTAAAAAAATTCTATTAAAATAAAGAAAGTATACATGTGTTGAAGGAGATGAATGAATTTTTTCTTCAACTACATCAAGGTCTGAAGAATGGGCTTAAAAAAACGAAAATAGAGAAAAATTTTTAAATTCAACTTTATCAAGTTACTATTTGTTGAATTAGTTGTTCTTGGTCGTTCATTTGACTAAAATAATTTAATCAAGTATATATTAACTACTGAAATAAGTCATACTACTTCATTCGGTGAATGTAATGACGATTCATGTTGCTCTATAAAAGAAGATATTATTATGTTTAAATAAAATATATTGTTTACATACAGTGACGTATCCAGGATTTTTCAGTATGTTGAATCTCGATTTCTGAGCATGAGATCCAGATAAAACTCATGGAAGGTGGTGTTGGATATAAATGATGGAGTTTTATCAAAAAAAATTTGCACTCGGAGTTTGCGAAAAAAATTAGCATTTTCCTGATCCCCCCCTCTAAAATTTTTTGCTCTTAGGAGTATCATGGTTTTTAGAATTTCATAGGAAGCTACACCGAATTTCATCGATAGATTTCAAATCTCGTCAAAAAATATGCAATCGTTCCACAGTTATGACATTTTGAAATTATGCAAAAATTGTTTTCACATGTAGCAAAAATTCAAAACGTCATAACTGTGGAACGGTTGCATATTTTTAGACGAATTTTGAAATCTGTCGATGAAATTCGGTGTAGCTTCCTATGAAATTCTAAAAACCATGATACTCCTAAGAGCAAAAAATTTTAGAGGGGGGGATCAGGAAAATGCTAATTTTTTTCGCAAACTCCGAGTGCAAATTTTTTTTGATAAAATTCCATCATTTATATCCAACACCACCTTCCATGAGTTTTATCTGAATCCCATGCTCAGAAATCGAGATTCAACATACTGAAAAATCCTGGATACGTCACTGTTTACATACCTTCTGAACTAATTGTACTAGTAATTATTAGTTCAGGACTTGTTGTGCGAGTCAAATTTGTCTCAGGACTTAATATATTAGCCATTATTGAGATATTTTTAGCTTTTAATTTTGCTAATTTTTTCATTCGTTGTTCAGTTCGACATCTTTTCAAAAAAAAGAAAGAACGTTTTTCAATGATGATACAATAAATTCTAAAATTAACCTTCGACATGCTTTTGATTTTTGAACATTTATAATACCAAAAAGACCACGTTTTCCACCTATTCGTACATTATGTTTATATCGAAATTCACAACAAATTGATAAACGATTATCAATAAGACCATTAACATAAAATGTTAATGCAAATGGATAATTAATATGTCGTCGAGATTCAAATTGAAATGTTTCTAAAAGACAAAATTCGAATTTTAATTATTTATTCTAAAATAAATCGATTATTTTTAATTACTATTAGGTTTTAATGAACCTTTATAAACAATAATATTTTCTCCTCCACAATGTTGTTGCATAATAATTATTTCATCACCTTCAGATTGAAATAAATTACGTTCATATGAAATATTTGTCTGTGATCCATAATATATCATTGTTACAATACATCGATCATTACTTGAAATTTGCTAGATCAAGAAAAAAAAACTGAATAATAAAATTCGATTTGAAGGAAAAAAAAAAGAATAACAATTTCAACTATCATTGTTTAGGATTATGTAAAGATTAAGACAATAATTAATAAGAATAGTTCAACGAAAATCTTGAATAAGTTGCTATTTTTGTTTAGACATGCGAGAAAAAAATATCATCAAAAATAATAAATAAGATAATTCAATGAATTTTTCTCGTATAATGAGTCTTTCAAAAAAGTTAGTGGACGGAAATATTCTTTTTCTTGTTGATCATGATTTCATAGATCTTAGATTTCGTAGTTGTATCTTGAAATATTTTTTCATAAAAATTAAAAACAAAATTTCTTCTAGCTTAAAATATATCATATGTTTTTTTAAAGGTAACATGACCTATATGTATGATATGAACAATAAATATCTCGCGAACTCTACTGACTTCATGTTTATCATAAATACAAATATCCATCAAGACTTATGAAAAAAAAAACAAATCTTTTTGATATATAAATATAATACTTAGAGAAATAAATAATCTAATATTACCTTTGGACTGACAGTACGACGCACGAAAACACTTTTAACACGTGTTGATGGATTAGATGATGAAAGACGTGTTGGTGATGGGGACATACTTCTCTAATACAAACAAAAATAAGATATATAAATTAATAAATATATATTATATTATAACTTGTCTTGTTCGAGATATTGTAGTACTCCTACGTTGTTGATCAATTGAATAATTATTTGGTGATTTTGAACGTCGACATAGTCTAATATTCTGTTTTGAAAATTAATTCAAAATATTTTAGAAATATATTAACGAACTTTAGTATTTTCTGTAGTTAATGAAGGATGAATGGATTTCTGAAATCTTTATTTACGTAATAAATAAAAAAACAGATGTATAAATTTAAGAATAAAATACTTTTCAACATTTTTTTTTGAAGTATGTCGTCTTCTAGAACGATGTTTAGGATTATGTTCATATTCATCTTTATATATGATTTCACCATTTTTATTAATCTTTTTCATAGAAATTAAAATAATTTGATTAATAAAAAAAAAGAAAAAAACTTCATACCAAACCAACATTAATTAAATGTTGACGAATATGTTTAATATTTAAAAGTGTTTGTAATTCTTTATTTGCCAATTCGTTGGATTCTCTAGAAGTAAGTTTTCATTTTGTTTTTTTTTTTGTTATTTACAATCAAACAAAAGACATACTTTACATCTGTCATTGCCTATACTTTTTGATTGATCGATCGTTTTCAATAACACCAATTGTAGTATTATAACAAAGAAAAAAAAAAAAATTTTCTTTTTTTTTTTTTCTTTGTCTTCATACATAATAAAATACTTCTTTTATTCATGTTAGAAAAAAAAAAACAATAACATGTTGACATACAAAATTTTATTAAGAAGAATTACATGAATTTGTTAGAACCTGAAGAAAAGTTGTTTTTCTTTTTTTTTAAGTAATTTTGATTATAATTGTCTATAACGGTAAAATGATTAGACAAATTTTGATGTAAATATACTAATTAAAGTATTAATTTAGCAAAAAATTAATTAATTAGAGGAGTCTTCTGTTATCAGCGAAGGGATTAAGACATATTTAGGCTAAAGAAACACTTTCATAGCTAAAATAATAAATTTAAAAAATCAATTATTCTTGAACTAAAATTTTCGATTTCTCAAGTATTCATAACTCATATATTTATATCTTCTTGAAGTACATGTAAGATATTTACATAATCAATGATTGCCGTACATATTGAAGAACAATTTGTTTAAGAAATAACAAAACAACAAGACGATCCTACGATCACACATCAATCGAACAGCTATGAGTATATACTATGTATTCCTTTCAGTTCAAGTGCAATCAAAAATTATTGATGTTGAATAGATTTACATTAGCAAAAATTGACCTTTTTATGCCAGTTCAACACTACTAAACTTCGAGAAATTTACAAAACACAAAAAAAAAAAGAACTGGATGTAGGTTTTTGTTTTTTATTGTATTTTCAAACAAATAGAAAAGAATATGTAAACAAGCTATTTTGTATCTTAGACATTATCGAAATATTTGATTCACTGAGTCTATCTATCTTTTCGTTTGTATACTTTTGCTCTCGATATTCGATGACAGACACTTGTTCTTTTTTATGTAATGCAATTTCATACTGTATATTTTTTTTAATCATTAATGAAATTTTGGGAAAACTTTTCATTATTTTCTACTATTTGTACTGAAAAGTTGCAATCCACTAATGTGTATTAAATCAATATGATTAAATTAATTTTTTTATTAATTGAATAAATGCCATCTATCAAAGCGAAGAATGAATAGGAATCAATGAGTACAATTAGTAGTCATTAATATAAGAATTTATTTTCATTTTACTTGAAACACAATATTCTATTTGATCTAACAATATTATTTGTTCTATAATTTTCGACATTTAATTTTATTGTAGTAATAAATCATGAAAATGACACTTCAATTTTTCATCATATCTTAAAATAGAGTTTGAATGAAAAACAATTCTTTTTTTTTTATTATTACGATACATCTATTATATAAAACTTGGTTTATAGACAATATATGTGATTGTTTTGTTTTTTTTCGTTTGCTTTAGTATTGTGTTCATAGATGAATTGAAAATGAATATATGATAGTTTTTTAATTCATAAATTCCAACGCAGCATCTTCTTATTCTTATGTGTCATTATGTCAATGAACTTTAGTTGTGTTAAGTATTGTAAATATTTACTTGAGATTTATTGGTTTTGACATTTCATATATTTTATTTTTGTTACTAACAATGTTCGACAATGATTTCTTTTTCTTCTATCATCTTATATTAAAAAAAATATTCACTAGAGATTTTATTTTTATGATTTCTATGAAGTCATTAATTTATCTATACTGTTTTGACAGATAGTATTAATGCACTTTAAAGACATACATATGAGTAAAAAAAGACAGAAGATTTATTAATATGAGTATCTCTTATATTCCGTTTCTTTTTTTTTTTTTATTATCAATGTAATTTACGCAATAGAAATCCTGATCATGAAAAATAAATTATTTTTTTGTTGTTAATCTTGACATTTATCGAGACATATAAAGAGTAGTGAAAAAAGAGAAACAACGTTATTTTAATTTTTTTTTGTTTTTTTCGTTAGTAACTCTACAACAATGAGTGACGATCCAACAGATTTACTCAAAGCTGAACTTGGTATGGTATCAGAAAAATATGAACATGATCCTCATCATCATCATCACCATCATCATCATCATCATGAGAAGGTTATTACACCTAGTTTTGAACCGGCAAAAGTTGTAACTCATAAAGTACAACCAAAAGTTAGTCATGATAAGCCAGTTGAACAAAATGAACAACAAAAGCAACATGAAGATGAAGGCAAATAATTATTTTATTTACAAAAAAATATTAACTGATGAACTAAATAATTATTATTATAAAAAATATTTCATATTTATATATATATACATGTTTTTTTTTTTTATCTTTTTGTATTTTTTCAATAAATCATATTCGATTTTGTTCAACATGATCGGTATATTGATTGAAGTTTATTCAGTATAATCGTATTGAGGAAAAAAAAAAGACTATAGATAAATTAGTAATACTTGAGACGAGAGGTTTAATCAACTGCTATTATTATTAATGTCGATTGTTATGTTAATAAGAAACTAACATAGATAAAGAACGAATAATAGCAAATATATATGTATTGTACACTGTTTGTAATGGATATTTTATTATTTGTTTTGTAAAAATATTGCTATTTTTGATTTTTTGGTAGATCTTACAAAAAGATATCCCTCTTAAATAGTATTTGTTAAAAAAAAAAAAAAGAAATTTTTCAGCTTGATTGAACATAGAATCTCGGAGCAAGGAATAGAGCATTATGATATTAATATCTCATAGAAGATAGCATCCGGAATGACAAATTTTGTTCTAGTCATTGAGGTTTACATGTCCTAGAAATTTCAAATTTATCTAATGAATCGTTCTCCGGAAGGAAAGCAAGGTTTTCCTTAAGGTTGTTATTATTAAACATTCGCTTCGATAGAAATAGATAATTATAATTTTTTTTTTTGAAAAATTCAAAGATTCAATGAATTTCTTAAATAAATAATTATTTTTATGATTGAAACTAGACATTTGTTGTAATAAATAACTATTCTTAATATCAGTTCTAGAAATTCTCAGATGACAGTATACAAATATTTTGTGTTATCTATTGACATATACAAACAAAATATTATTATCTCTTGTCATATAAATTCAATATTTATTCGTTGATAAAATACTTATAAGACAAATTCATCAAATGTTGATGTTAATAAATATTCCCTTTGGATCAGATTATTCAATCTTTATTTTATTTTATTCTTTATTTAAGAGAAAGAAAGAAGTTCATCGTTTTTTTTTAATATTAGTATACAAATTGCAGAAAAGCAAAAAAAAAAAAAAAGAAATTAATAATCACTGTGAATGAGAGAAAGATAAAAGTTAGAGAGCTAAGAATCAATCTTAGGCACTGAGAGTAAGAGACCAGAAGAGAAAAGAAAAGAAATTTGAGACAACAAATGACTAGAATGAAAAAAAAAACAGGGAGGGCAACATAAGGTAGATGAATGAATTTTGCATTCATATGCAAGTGATCAACACTTGTCGAATAATAAAAAAACAAAAAAAAAAAAAAAAACATGACTAGACACAATTACCGAAAATTAGCCATTTCATAATGGGCAAATCTTTCATCATCATATATAGATGCAGAAGGAGGAGGAGGAGGTGGAGGAGGAGGAGGAGGAGGAGGTATTGTTTGTCTATAATAATCTGAATTCGATATTGTTGATGGTAATCTTTGATTTGAAGTTCCATAACGATTAATAGATAATTGTGTTGGTGTTATATCATTAAGTAATGGTGATGATGGAAGTAAACGTGCTGTTGTTGTAACAATTGGTACGACTATAGATCCCGAAGGATTTATTGGTGGTATATGAGCAATAAGTGAAGCTGCTGGACGTGGTGGAACATATGTTGTATCATTTGTTAAATCATTTTTTTCATCTAATTTTGGATGTGTTGCATTCCAATATGTATCTAAAAATGTTGTTAAAGTATTACATGCTTCTTCTAATTGATTTTGGTCTAATGTTAAATCAAACATTTCCTAGAAGAAAAACAAATTAAATTAAATTAATAAAAAAAAAAAACATACACTTGGACATTGTGTTAATTTATCAGCAGCAACTAATTGTACATTTAAATTTCTATGTTGACTTTTACCACGTGATTTAATTAATTTTTGTAAAACTTTTGGTGATGAAACTTTTAAATAAATAATTATTGGTGCTAAAGATGTTTTTTGTAATTGAGCTGGATGATTTATTGTATCACAATCAAGTACAACTAATTGTAAACTACGTGCTAATTCAAATATACGTTCAATTTCATCATGAACTTCTTTTATACCATTTGAACGTGTTGCATTTAATGAACCAAGACCAGGTGTTGTTGATGATGTATTATCACCATTACCACCACCACCTCCACCACCATTATTTGTAGTTGTACGTTCAATAAGTGCAATTTTTGATGGATTATTTAATAGACCACGTTTAGCAAGTGATATATCAGCTGTAATACGTGTTATTATAATACGACCTTCATAACGATGTTTTAAAAAATCAAAAACAGCTTTTTGCATCATATCAGTTACATCGTATCCTTTTAATGATGGACCAACTAATACAACAGGACGCATATTTGGTACAACATCATATGGTGTTATGTTAACAGTCTAGAATATAAATAAATATATATAGAAGTTGTTAAGAATTTCGAAGTTTTGATGATCAAAAAAAAAAAAACTTTTTGTTTACTTTTTTAAAAAAATTTTTCTTTTTATCTTTATTCATATTTGTATTTAATTTTGATTTTGTAAGACTATGATTATCACCATCACCATCATTGCCAAACATATCGTCATTAAATGTAGGTATATTTTGATCCATCATATCAAGACCTTATGATTAAAAAACAAAAAAAAAAGAATTTTTGAAATTTGCTTTTTTTTTTTGTTTTTAAATTACTTTGTGTGGATGTTTTTATACGTGGTGTTGCATTCGCAAGTGGTATTGGATGATTTTTACTTTTACGATTTGATTGTATACGTATCATTTCTAATTTTGCTGGACTTGGTATAAAACCAAGTGGTGCATCAACTTTAACTAATCGACCAATCCACCAATCGTTATTAAATTTCTAAAAAAAAATATCAAATTTTGAATTTTATTTTGTTTTAATTTATCTTACATCTTTAATATGAAGAAATTCTTTTGTTGTAAATGAAATAGCTGCTTTAGCAATAGGACAAAGATCATCAGATGATGGTACATAATCAATATTTGTTCGTACAGCAAATGCAACTGGTTTTGTTTTACATCGTTCAAGTGCTTCACTTGCTGAACGTGTTTGATCACGAGGTTTTATTGGAGGTGATAAACTATTTGTAGTTGTAGCATTTGTTTTAGTTATATCAGGTGAATCCCCATCAAAACTTTCTGAGGATTGTTGACTATAATTGGATTCACCAGAACCCTAAATAGAAAAAAAAATAAAAGAATTTTCAAGGGAAATAAGAATTTTTCTTTGTTCTTTGAAATTCCTATGGGAATTTAATCTTTATTAAATTCTTTTAAAATACAAACCAATATTATACGATGGACAAGTAATGCAAAATTCATCTGTATTGGTTCTATAGGAAAAAAAAAATCTATTCTGTCTTTTATTGTCCATCTGTTCTATCATCAATCAGTATTTGTCAAATCTATTTTTACTTTACTTGAGTAATTATCTAACGATTCTATAATTACATGCGATTCTTTTTTGCTTGTTTTCTAATTGCTGATGAAGAAAATTAATAATACTGGAATACCGATTATCGACTTAAGAGAATTAGAACAGACAATGATGACTTCACATCTATCAATATGACAATATTTCTCTTGTTTTTACTCATTCATCGTACAACGATCACAAGTGGTCACCGAAACCTTCATAATTAGTGTATAAAATTAGACTTACAACGGTTGTTGTCGAATAAGCACTATCAGCTGAATGTTGTTTTACATTTCGCATAGATGACATCAACATTTTTCATTATAATACTTTCCACATATTAATCAAATAGATTTTGGTCGTTTATATTTATCGTCTAGTCTAATCCATGATGATATAAAAAAAAAGAAAAAGAAAACTAATTCTTTTTTTTTCTCTCTCTCTCTCTTAATTTTGTTTATGGTTAGTAACAACATTTTTCTTTTTTTTTTTTTTTCGTTCGTTCTTCTCTATATACTATTTGATTATAGTAAATAGGTACCTATAGAACATCGCATTAGAACTCGACGACAATGACGAAAGAAATAAGAATGTATATGAATATTTGTTAATTCAACACACGCATACATGTAACAGAATAATACTAGCATCAAATCATGATTTGACACACATAAAAGAACGAATAACACACTATGTAGTCGCATCGAATTCCACTCGTCTTATCAATCTAACACAAAAGCAAACAAAGTCTAGTTTTTTCTTTTGTTTTTCTTTTTGTTGTCCTATGATAGACAACTCATTTTCTTTTTCGCTAATACAAATCATAAAAATTGGTTTGTATGTGTATGTGTGTGTTTTTTTTTATATTTTGGATGAGGAAAGAGAAAAAAAAATCATTATTTTTTTCCCCTAAAGAGAGACAAATTTATTTAATTAAATAACAATAGACAAAAATTGAATTATCAATCAATTCAGAAAACACTTACTTGTCGATTGATACTATATGAATCTGATGACAGACTGCTATCTTGTGTTGTTCCAAGACCACTCAATTTTGGAGAAATTGCTAATTTCTAAAAATAAGTATATTCTATATTAATCTGTTCAAATAATGATAGAAAAAAAGAAAAACAATTTATGATAAGTATTTAGTAGTCGGATTTTTTTTTTTTTTGAAAGATAAATGAATATTTCAAGTAGAATGAACAAATATTAAAAAAATTAAAATCTTTTTGCAATTCAAATATGTATTAGAAATCTATTATAAATATCATTTGTTTTTTCGGATCAAAAAAAAAATGTGAGATTTTATATAAAATAAATTGAATATCAAAATGAAATTTAATTTAAATAAATATATATGTAGAAAAATTTTTTTCTTATATTTAATTCTTACTTTTGGATAAAGAAGATCTCGATTATTATCACGTTGAATTGAATGAACTCCACCCGATAACAATGGGCTATTATTAGGTTTATTATTATTATTTATCGTTAATACTGGACTAGATCTTATATTGTTGGCCATTAATATCATATTTCCATTTGAATATAATCATTTTGATCTTATATATTGATTCATATAGTTTCTTATGAACATGTGAAATCTTGATTGAGCTCTATTTATTATGTATTTGTTTACATGATCATAGGTTATTATTAAGAAAATTGCTTTTAATAACCAATCAATAAAAACTTATATCATCATCCAGTCAGCTTTTTTCTTTCCCACATATATAAAACCATCAAATAGCGAACTCTATTGAAAGTACTGATAAACTATTATATAAAAAAATCAAAACAACAAATATAACAGAAATGATAAGAAAAAAAATACACATATATTCTTATAGATTGTTGACAGACAAAACTCAACCTACGTATTAGTGACAATGACAACAGAAGACATACAACTAATGATAACGATGCCAATGTTATTATGAATTAGATAGGCAAAAAAAAAAACAATGTTGTTAAAAATCGATTAGACATTGATTTATTGCAACATAAAAATCAACAATTTGTCTTACGATTATTACGAATTCAATGTTTTATTTAAAGAGTAAATTTAAATCATTCAATAAGTTAAGATATGAACAAAAATTCGTGATTAGTTCAATAGTTAGTTCATTATTAAACAATTCTAACGAAGTGTTATTTATATCTTTTTTTTTGTATCGATTTGAAATTTTTCTAAATCTTCATTCATTGATATGAATCAAATAAGTTCAGAATTAATAGAATAATCAGAATATTAGGATTGTATGAGACAAATAGAATAGTTTGAACTCTTAAATAAATAATATTGACGATTAAAAATTTTATGATATCATTCGGCAACTTTGAAGGTTTTATATTTTAAGATATGCATTCAAGAGGCTGAATAGTCAAAGATTGAACAACAATGATGACTTTATTCGTTGTGCACTTTACAAAAAAAAAGCTCCGTTATTTTTGATGTTTATGAAGATTTGTTTTTCTCACTCTTCATCTAAAAATGGGTTTGAGAGATAAGTACATAGAACCATATGTAATGACAATTTTTCTCTCTATACCCAAGATGATGATTTCGACCGATAAAAACGACATATTATTGCATTAATTTCACTGTTTTATATCTTTTACGACTGTCAACGACGCCATTTTCTTGAACCTAGATATGTTTCATACTCAATGTAAATACGAATAATGTTTTACAATTTTCTTTTAATACTAAAGAGTAGAATAGATAAAATGACTTTAGATTATATCATATATTCTTATTTTCATATTTCAATAATCAAAAAAAAAAAATAGCTATGCTATTCGGTATAATATAGGTTCATCAAAATAAAAATCGAAAGATCAATGAATGACTTGCTTTTTTTTCTCTACATGAATGGTACAAAAAACAAAATAATCTTAAGAAAAGTCCACTATGTGGTTAGTGTTAAAATTATTATTTTATATTCGGAGTAGTAGATGATGTAATCATTGGTGATGGTGATAATGAACATTCTCTAGTCGATTGTGTTTGAGAATTGTGTGGAGCCGTTTGTAATGGATAATTATTTGATTGAGTTGGTAGCATAACTGTCGGTAAATAGAACATTGGTGTATTGAAATATGGCATTGGAATTATTGGAGGAGAAGATACATTTGCAGAAGAAATTAATGGTGTTGGTGAACTAGGTATACTTGATTGTGAATTAACAATATTTGTACTTAATTTTATATAGATTGGTTTTGAAAGAATCCATTTCCCATTCATTTCATTTAAAGCTTTCATTGTTTCGTCCATTGTATTAAAACATACAAAACCAACACCTTTTGATTGACTACCATTTCTTAAAATCTTAAATAAAATGACAATAATAAAAATATGTATATAATCTTATGTCTACTCACATGTGTTTTCGTTACTCTACCAAATTTATTAAATATAACTTCAAGTAATTGTTCATCAATCATTGAATCTAAATTACTAATAAACAATGAAAGATTATTTGATTGTCTATGATGATTTTCTTCACGAATTCGTTGAATTTCATTTTGACGTTCAGATTTTTTTTGAAAAATTCCAACATACAATTGTTTACCATCTTCTAATACATATCCATTTAAATTCATCATTGCCTAATAAAAACAAAAAACAAAAATATATAAAATAAATTATATATTATCAATTTACATGTTGTGCCATTTCTGGTCGTTCAAAATTAACAAAACCAAATCCTTTAGATTGACCATTATTATCTGTTTGAATCTATTGATAAAATAAGAATACTTTATAATTTTAATTCATATAATTTTATTGCATACTTTACAACTTGTTATAATACCATAGGTACCAAATAATCGACATAATTTTGTTTCAGTCATATCTTTACCAAAATTTTTCACATATAAATTCGTAAAATTTGATCGTGTTTTATTCATTATTGGATTATCGTTTGATATATTTGTCTACAAAGAAAAACAAAAATCAAAAGAATATATGAAATTTGTAACTTTTATTACTACATAAGAAAAAAAAAGAACAACTGAATGCTTTTAGGAAGCTGCTGCTACTTTTGTTTTTCTGCTCATGGTTTGTTATTTAAGATGACTGACTGTATGAAGGACAACAATTGACTTATTGCATTTAAACTGCTTAGTTGTCTTGACGAATTCTTCTTCTTCTACCTATCAATGTATTAGTCATGTGAGCCATTCGTTCTCTACACCTGAGCATAATTTCAAATTGGAAAAAAAAAACTAAATCATGAGTGCACATGTAAAATTGATGTTTTAAATATTCGACGACATTCGTTTGAAGGTATACACATGTGAAAAATGACTTCTAATAGATTCGTTATATGATGATGAATGATTCAATCGTAAAGCGACAATTGATATGCATATATACTTTATTTATCGTGTTTCAAAATCTATTTTAACAACGATAAAAAAAACAAAAATCTTGATTTTCTAATAAATTTAATTTACAATCTAATAAAAGAACTACAATTCATTCATGCAATTAATCATCTTCTCGACTCGAGCTGTGTTCGAATGGCATGATAGGCTTTTTTTTCTTTCATGCAGTCTCTCGCGGACAAAAAAACGGCCTTTTTCCATTTCACTTTTGCATCGCTTTACACTTTGTTTTAAAAAAACAAAATATACCACAAGATGCAGCGTGAAAAGAACTACAACCTACAAAGTAAAGCTTATTTTATTTGTGTGCTTTTTGCTTTCGAAAAAAAGCAAAATCCTGTGCGCCCAATTTTCGACACTGCGAAAATATCATTTTTTCTTATATTATCTTACCTCATCTTATCTCATCTTTTTATCACCTAATGTGCTTCCCTGAAAAAAGACAAAATATACCAGAAGATACAGCGTGAAAAACTCTACAATTTACAAAGTGAAGCTTAATTTAATTGTGCACTTTTTGCTTTCAAAAAAAGCAAAATCCTGTGCTATCAATTTTCGACGCTGCGAAAAAATCTTTTTTTCTACGCGACGAGAAATTCCTTTTTTCTTATTTCATCTTTTTATCAACTAGTATGTTTGTGTGAAAAAAAAAACAAAATATATCAGAAGATGCAGCGTGAAAAATTCTACAATCTACTAACTAAAACTTATTTAAATTATGTACTTTTCATTTTTCAAAAACAGCAAAATTCTGTGAGACCAATGTCTGACGCTGCGAAAAAAATCATTTTTCTACACGAACGAGAAATTCTTTTCTTCGTATTTGAATAAATTGTTCTATGTAAATTATAGAGCTTTTCACGCTGCATCTTCTGGTATATTTTGTTTTTTTTTCAGAAAAGCACATTAGGTGATAAAACGATGAAATAAAGAAAAAGGAATTTCTCCTTGGCATAAAAAAAATGATATTTTCGCAGCGTCGAAAATTGGGCGCACAGGATTTTGCTTTTTTTCGAAAGCAAAAAGCACACAAATAAAATAAGCTTTACTTTGTAGGTTGTAGTTCTTTTCACGCTGCATCTTGTGGTATATTTCGTTTTTTTAAAACAAAGTGTAAAGCAATGCAAAAGTGAAATGGAAAAAGGCCCTTTTTTTTGTCCGCGAGAGAGTATTCTATTAATATAGCAAGTTGTATGAAAATTATAAATATTTGACGAATTGATTTCGAGTAGTGTTCTAATTGAATAAAAACAAAAGGTCAAAAAATAAGCAAATAAATAACAGTTGTATAAAATTAATAATTCAAAAAATAACAACACAAAAAAAGTTTATTCTCTTCTTTTTTTTAAAATTTTATACATATAAATCAAAATATTTTTTATATTTAACTATTTGTTCAAGTTTTATTTTGCCTTCTTGTGATAACGAACAATCTTGTAACCAAAATATATTTAATGTTTGATTAATTTCAAACATCGGAATAAGAAAATTAATACAACAATCACTTATTAATTTATTTCCATTTAAAGATAAATGTATAAGAGTTTTATTATCAGAGTAAAGTACATTAGCTAATAATTGTACACCATAATCACTAATATTATTATATGAAAGACATAAATCAGTTAAAATTTGATTTTTTTTTAACATTATAGCTAAATAATCTACACCTTCATCTTCAATATAATTATGATCAAGATAAAGTAATGTCAAATTTGAATAATTATTTGAAAGAATATTTGCTAAATATTGTATACCAATATTATTTAATAAATTTTGTGAAAGATATAATGATTCTAATGATTCATTTTCTTTTAAACTATCAGCTATAATATATAGACCTTGTGATGTAATTTGATTATTTTGTAATGAAAGCCAAATACATTTTTTATTTTTAATAATTTGTTCAGTAATTATATTCATATGAATATCAGTTAAATATTGATTTTTTAAATTAATTTCACAATATTTTTCATAATTTTTAATACGTTTTCGAAATAATAAATTAAATAATTTTATATTATTATTATTTATAATTGAAGATATTGTTTTAATAGAATTTAAATATGAAACTTCTTTTAAAATAATAATATAAAATTCATTATTTGATTTATAATATGAAACAATTTGAAATTCATG